GATTTTTCAATTTTTTTAAATTCTGGAGTTTCGATTTGTCGATTTTTCAGTTTTTCGATTTTTAATTTTTAGATTTTCGAATTTTTCTTTTTTGATTCTTTGATGTTTGGATTTCTCCATTTTTCAATTTTGCGATATTTTAATTGTTCAATATTTTAAATTTTAGATTTTTCGATTTCCGGATTTTTTCATTTTCCAGTTCTTCAGTATTTCTATTTTACAATTTTTCAAATTTTGACGTTGCTAAATTTTCAGTTTTCCGATTTTTCGATTAATACTTATATACTTATATATATATAAGTGGCGAGCATTCGTTGAGACGTGATCACATGTATCACAATAGGTGAGTTTTGGACGGTCTTGATATTTTGTAATTTTGGGTTCTTAGGTCTTCAGATGACGAAGAAATGAATGCAAGCCCAACCAACGAGAACGTTATGTTTAAAGAAAAGAAAGACTATTCGCATTTAGGTTTCTCGTATGATCACTCTCCTGTTGAGACAACGACGGAATTGTAGATAACTCTTGTAAAGTCATTCTAATTGTAATTTAACCGTAGTCTAAGTACGTAATTACAAGGTTATAGGTTGTAATAATTTTATGCTGATTGTGTAATTTTATATTTTAATAAATGTTTTTATTGACCTTCGTTAAAAAAACACTGTGTGCTATAAAATAACAATTTATTTACAAAATTTACACACGGTCAGCGGTTGTGTATACATACATACAGAATCGTCAAAATGATAGGAATTAACAAGTATCGATACAAAAATATTAAATAAAATAAAATACAACATAACTAGTATCACACGCCAAACAAACAACATTCACACTCTTTACAGTACTAAAATCGGCAATAATGAGCATTAGGTGGCTACAAATCCGGGTACTACTTCCCGAACTTCGAAGCTATAGTGTACAAGGAATTCAACAATTGCAAGGCCCTAGCATCTTCGCATCTTCGATTAAACTCGGATCGACGATTTTAAGGTCCGAGTTCGTCGCGTCTTCGTGGTGCCTCACCCCAAAACCTCCAATCGAACTCGACGTTTCAAGAGTCTCGGTACTATTCACGGTACGACTCAACAAAGTGTGTACAGGAACAGCACTAGTGTCCACTTGCATCGTACTATTCCCACATTCGCTAATCAACAAAAGAATCAATCTTCTCGTCAAGGGATTATTCTCAATTTCCTTCATCTTCTCCAAAAACTCAGCACAACACATTCAAAATTATTCGAAAGCTATCGGTGTTTTATTTTTGATACTCAATGTAAATTGCTGAATTATAAAAAATGGTCTAAAGTTATTTAGACAGCACTTTCCTCGCTCTTGAATCCGGTATAACATATTCAGTTTTGTCAGATAATTGTAAGATTCGATTTAGAGATTTTTTTGCTGACAACGCAGTAAAGAGATCCATCTGGTGACGTTTCTTCATTTTATAACACAATTTTTGGTTTCTTTATTTCCTTTATTTTTTTGTTGTTTCTTTCGATTTGCAATTCTTTATTTATTCAATTTTTCAAATTTTCAGGCTTTCATTTTTCAATTCCATGATTTTCCACGTTGAAAATTTTTCAATTTGCAGTTTTTGGATTTCTAGTCTTCCAATTTTTCAGTTTCTTTAATTTTCAATATTTTGATTTTACAATACATATATATTTCTTTTTTTTTATTTTTGACTTTTTCGAATTTTAAGTCTTTCGATTTTTCAAATTTTCATGTTTGATTTTCTCTTTTGACATTTTTCAAGTTTTCATCATAAACTTTTTCGTTTTATTATTTTTGATTTTTCAATTTTACAGTTTCTTGACTTCTAAATTTTTCCATTTTTCGATTTCCAATTTTTTAATTTTGCAATTTTTTGATATTACAGTTTCTCATTTTTGGATTTTTCACATTTTCAGTTTTTAATTTTTGTAATTTTCAATTTTTCGTTTCCTCAATTTTTCAAGTTCTCGATTTTTATCTTTCATTTTCTCGATTTTATGTCCAAATTTTCATTTTTTCAATTCCTTTATTTTTTGTTGGTTTTTTTTCGATTTTTCAATTTTTCGTTTCTTCAGTTTTTGGAATTTTCAGTTTCTCAATTTTTCGTTCCCACAATTTTTCATGTTTCCGATTTTTATTTTTCAGTGTGGCGAATTTTTAATTTTTATTTTCTCGATGTATATCACAATTGTCCGTTTCTTCATTTCCTTTATTTTCGATTTTACAATTTTTCATTTGTTCAATTTTTCAAATTTTCAGGCTTCGAATTTTCAATTCGTCCATTTTTCAAATTTAAAATTTTTCACTTTGCAGTTTTTGGATTTCCAGTCTTCCGATTTTCCAATTTCTTTAATGTGAAATATATCTATTTCATAATACGTACTTCTTTTTTTTGATTTTTCACTTTTTCGATTCTTAAGATTTTTCAAGTTTTCATTTTGTAATTTTTCGACTTCCAAAATTTTCAGTTTTTCGTTCCTTCAATTTTTCGGTTTGCATCAATTTTTCAATATTACAGATTTTTATTTCTCGATTTTTCAGTTTCTCAATTTTTCATTTTTCCCTTTTCCGATTTTTTTTCCGATTTTTATTTTTCATTTTCCCGATTTTTTAATTTTCACTTTTTCGATTTTATATCACAATTTTCCTTTTTTTGATTTCCTTTATTTTTTGTTGTTTCTTTTGATTTTACAATTTTTCCTTTATTAAATTTTTCAAATTTTCAAGTTTTTAGCAATTTTTCTTCAAATTTTCAAGTTTAATTTGTACATTTTTTAAGTTTTTATTATACACTTTTTCGTTTTTTTATTTTTGATTTTTCAATTTTACAATTTGTCGACTTCCAAATTTTCCAATTTTTCAATATTACAATTTCTCATTTTTCCATTTTTCACATTCTCGATTTTCAATTTTCCATCCCCTCAGCTTTTCAACTCCCCGATTTTTATTTTGCATTTTTCTGAATTTTTATGTTTCATTTTCTCGATTTTATATCACAATTTTTTGTCTTTTCATTTCCTTAATTTTTGTTGTTTCTTTCGATTTTCCAATTTTTCGTTTGTTCAATTTTTCAAATTTTCAGGCCAATCGATTTCCATTTCGTCGATTTTTCAATTTTTAAATTTTTCAGTTTGCAATTTTTGGGTTTCCACCCCTTTTTATTTTTTGGATTTTCAATTTTTCGTTAAACTTTAGATTTCTCAAATTTTCGACAGTTTTATATTTCGATTTCTTAATTTTTTCTTTCAACTTTTCGATTTGCAATTTTTTAATTTTGCAATTTTTCGATATTACAGTTTCTCCTTTTTCGATTTTTCACATTCTCAGTTTTTAATTTTTGTTATTTTCAATTTTTCGTTTCCTCAATTTTTCACGTTTTCGATTTTTATTTTTCATTTGCCTGATTTTTTAATTTTCATTTTCTAGATTTTATGTCACAAATTTTTTCAATTAATTTATTTTTTGTTGTTTCTTTTGATTTTTCAAATTTTCATTTCTTCAGTTTTTCGAATTTTCAGGCTTTGAATTTTCAGTTCGTCCATTTTCCAATTTTTAAATTTTTCACTTTGCAGTTTTTGGATTTCCAGTCTTCCGAGTTTCCAATTTCTTTAATTTTATATATTTCTAATTCATAATACATATTTCTTTTTTTTTTTATTTTTCACTTTTTCGATTCTTAAGATTTTTCAAGTTTTCATTTTGTAATTTTTCGAATTCCAAAATTTTAAATTTTTCGTTCCTTTAATTGTTCGGTTTGCATCAATTTTTCAATTTGGCAATTTTTCAATATTACAGATTTTCATTTTTCGATTTTTCAGTTTCTCAATTTTTCATTTTTCCCTTTTCCAATTTTTTGTTTCCAATTTTTATTTTTCATTTTCCCAATTTTTTAATTTTCACTTTTTCGATTTTATATCACAATTTTCCTTTTTTTGATTTCCTTTATCTTTTTGTTGTTTCGATTTTACAATTTTTCCTTTATTAAATTTTTCAAATTTTCAGGTTTTTAGCATTTTTTCTTCAAATTTTCAAGTTTAATTTGTACATTTTTTAAGTTTTTATTATACACTTTTTCGTTTTTTTATTTTTGATTTTTCAAATTTACAATTTGTCGACTTCCAAATTTATTTTCCAATTTTTCAATAATACAATTTCTCCTTTTTCCATTTTTCACATTCTCGATTTTCAATTTTCCGTCCCCTCAGTTTTTCAACTCCCCGATTTTTATTTTGCATTTTTCTGATTTTTTATTTTTCATTTTCTCGATTTTATATCACGATTTTTTGTCTTTTCATTTCCTTAATTTTTGTTGTTTCTTTCGATTTTCCAATTTTTCGTTTATTCAATTTTTCAAATTGTCAGGCCAATCGATTCCATTTCGTCGATGTTCCAATTTTTAAATTTTTCAGTTTGCAGTTTTTGGGTTTCCACCCTTTTTTTATTTTTTGGATTTTCAATTTTTCGTTAAACTTTAGATTTCTCAAATTTTCGACAGTTTTATATTTCGATTTCTTAATTTTTTTTCAACTTTTCGATGTTTTAATTTTTCGTTTTTTAAATTTTTCAATTTTTTTTATTTCTCGATTTATAAAATTCAGATGTTTGAATGTTTTGATTGCTCAGTTACTCAATTTATCAATTTCTCTTTTTTTTTCTATTTCTTGATGTTTCGATTTTTGGATTTTTCGCTTTTTCGATTTTCCAATTTTTCGATGTTTCGATTTTGCAGTTATCCGATTTTTCAATTTTTTTAAATTCTGGAGTTTCGATTTGTCGATTTTTCAGTTTTTCGATTTTTAAGTTTTAGATTTTCGAATTTTTCTTTTTTGATTCTTTGATGTTTGGATTTCTTCATTTTTCAATTTTGCTATATTTCAATTGTTCAATATTTTAAATTTTAGATTTGTCGATTTCCGGATTTTTTCATTTTCCAGTTCTTCAGTATTTCTATTTTACAATTTTTCAAATTTTGACGTTGCTAAATTTTCAGTTTTCCAATTTTTCGATTAATACCTATATATATAAGTGGCGAGCATTCGTTGAGACGTGATCACATGTATCACAATAGGTGAGTGATAAACGGTTTTGATTTTTTGTAATTTTGTGGTTATAGGTCTTCAGATGACGAAGAAATGAATGCAAGCCCAACCAACGAGAACGTTATGTTCAAAGAAAAGAAAGACTATTCGCCTTTAGGTTTCTCGTATGATCACTCTCCTGTTGAGACAACGACGGAATTGTAGATAACTCTTGTAAAGTCATTCTAATTGTAATTTAACCGTAGTCTAAGTACGTAATTACAAGGTTATAGGTTGTAATAATTTTATGCTGATTGTGTAATTTTATATTTTAATAAATGTTTTTATTGACCTTCGTTAAAAAAACACTGTGTGCTATAAAATAACAATTTATTTACAAAATTTACACACGGTCAGCGGTTGTGTATACATACATACAGAATCGTCAAAATGATAGGAATTAACAAGTATCGATACAAAAATATTAAATAAAATAAAATACAACATAACTAGTATCACACGACAAACAAACAACATTCACACTCTTTACAGTACTAAAATCGGCAATAATGAGCATTAGGTGGCTACAAATCCGGGTACTACTTCCCGAACTTCGAAGCTATAGTGTACAAGGAATTCAACAATTGCAAGGCCCTAGCATCTTGACTGTCTTCGCTTAAACTCGGATCGACGATTTTAAGGTCCGAGTTCGTCGCGTCTTCGTGGTGCCTCACCCCAAAACCCCCAATCGAACTCGACGTTTCAAGAGTCTCAGTACTATTCACGGTACGACTCAAAAAAGTGTGTACAGGAACAGCACTAGTGTCCACTTGCGCCGTACTATTCCCACATTCGCTAGTCAAAAGAAGAATCAACCTTCTCGTCAAGGGATTATTCTCAATTTCCTTCATCTTCTCCAAAAACTCAGCACAACATATTCAAAATTATTCGAAAGCTATCGGTGTTTTATTTTTGATACTCAATGTAAATTGCTGAATTATAAAAATTGGTCTAAAGTTATTTAGACAGCACTTTCCTCGCTCTTGAATCCGGTATAACATATTCAGTTTTGTCAGATAACTGTAAGATTCGATTTAGAGATTTTTTTGCTGATAACGCAGTAAAGAGATCCATCTGGCGACGTTTCTTCATTTTATAACACAATTTTTGGTTTCTTTATTTCCTTTATTTTTTTGTTGTTTCTTTCGATTTACAATTCTTTATTTATTCAATTTTTCAAATTTTCAGGCTTTCATTTTTCAATTCCATGATTTTCCACGTTTAAAATTTTTCAATTTGCAGTTTTTGGATTTCTAGTCTTCCAATTTTTCAGTTTCTTTAATTTTCAATATTTTGATTTTACAATACATATATATTTCTTTTTTTTTATTTTTCACTTTTTCGAATTTAAAGTCTATTGATTTTTCAAGTTTTCATCATAAACTTTTTCGTTTTTTTATTTTTGATTTTTCAATTTTACAGTTTCTTGACTTCTAAATTTTTCCATTTTTCGATTAGCAATTTTTTAAAGTAGTAGTCGAGAGCTCGTAAAGTGTGGACGCGTTGCAAGTTACTCGATTAAAATGAAATGCAAAAAGTGTAAAGCCAGTTTAATAAGTGGTGTAAAATGCAATGTTTGTTTGTCTTATTATCACACAAGTTGTGGAAAGTTGCTCAGTAAAGGGAAGTTCAATTCTGAAGATGTTATATTGTGCTGTAATCGACCCTGTTCTCCGTTTACCGAAGACACTACTCCTGAGCCAAATGATATCATCGATTTATCAAACATCACTGAACCAGTTGATGCGACCATGTTTAAGTATGTCATGCAGCAGAAAGATGTGATCATTGAAGAACTACGGTCTAAAATCGATCTCCTACAAGAAAAAATTTGCCTTCTAGAACAACTGGAAAAAGAACGGCAAAAACTCTCCCAGTCCTCTATCACACCAGTCGCTGCTAAGCAAGATAAGCAAAAGGTAAACAAGGAAAATGGTGGAAGTTCTGTCAAAGTTTCTGTCAAAGGTTTAAGAAGTCCTGCGATGTCATCAAAAAGTCCTGCGATGTCATCTAAAAGTCCTGCAATGTCATCAAAAAGTCCTGTGATGTCATCACCCAACATAAAATCTATACAGCCCACAATGAAAGTACAGCCAAAGGCTCTTCCAAAACGCCATAATGATGAATGGAATCTAGTTGAGAAGAAAAAACGTAAAGCTGTAGTTGGTTGTTTCGCTGCTGCAGGTTGCAGTTTGAAAGCTATACCAAAACTAATGGATCTGCATGTTTATAGGTTACACCCTGATACCAAAAAGGAAGACGTACTAACGTTTGTTAAATCTCATTTTCCCGAAGCAAAATGCGAGGAACTGGAAGCTAAACACAAAGGCGAATATTCATCTTTCAAGCTGTCTGTATATGCTGACAATTTCGGAAAAGCCCTGGATCCCAACATCTGGCCTGTAGGAGCATGTGTTCGCAAGTTTTTTCATTTTAAAAAAATTAACGAGTAAAGCGGTAGTTAGTGATAGCTATTTTTCAATTTTCCATTTAAATGTACAATCGATTAGGAACAAAGTTGATGAAGTAGAGGTAGTTTTACATAACATTGAAGAATCTTATGATGTTTTATGTTTTACAGAACATTGGTTAACAAACTATGAGTTGGATTTATTAAAATTGGGTAGTTTTAAGATAGCCTCTGCCTATACCAGGAAAGATAATGGTTATGGCGGTGTTGTGATACTAGTAAACGATAAAATTAAATACCAAGTTATTGATGTTTCAAAGTTTTGTAATGTAATTGACATTGAGCTTGCAGCCATTAAAGTTAATAAACCCAAACTAATCATAATAACTGTATACAGAGCACCAAAAGGCAATCTGGAAGTTTTATACTCTAATTTGACTAATTTATTTAATTTTATCAATATAATCGATTCAGATGTTATTATTAATGGAGACTTTAACATACATTTTGACCGCAAAACCAAACAGACTCTAGAGTTCCTTAACTTTTTAAAATCTTATAATTTGAGACCTCTAATCTTTGAGAACACGCGAGCAAATTCGTGTATTGATAATATACTTACAAATATCGCACATGATTGTAGGCACCAGGTCATGGAGACTCATTTATCTGACCATCGTGCTGCTACTGTAGAAATTCTATATAATCGTCATAAGTCAAAAGACTGCTCGAAAGTTGTATCATATCAACCTTTTACGGAAGTAGGATTCTTTAATTTTTTTAATATTATTAGTGATTGCAATTTTGATTTTATCAATGATGCTGGACTTGATACAAATACCAAATTTAACTTATTCACCAAATTAATTTCTGATAAAGTAAACATGGCCTTTCCTATAAAAGTAAAAAGAATAAAAAATGTTAAAAAGGATGATATTTACTGGTATGATGAGAAATTACATAAAATGAAACAAAATGTAGACCTGCTACACGAATTACACAATCAAAATCCTAATGACCCAACTTTTGTGACCTATTTTCAAAAATATAGAGAATTGTTTAGAACCGAAGTTAAGAAAAGAAAAAAAACCTTTAATGACAACCTAATTAAAAATTCTACTAATGTAGCAAAGGACAGCTGGAAATTAATCAATAGCAAACGATTAGCTAGTAGCAATAATTATTCAGAAAAACTGACTGCGGAGGACTTCTCTACATTTTTTGGTGATATCCCACATAATTTGGAGAATAATTTAAAATTATCAAATACGGATCCAATTCAGCTAATGCACAAAAATTTGACTCCGGTGAACTCTGTTTTCAATTTCAGAGAGATAACATTTAATGAAGTAAGAGATACAATTGATTCCATCAAAAAAAAGAAAAGTAAGGACTACTACAACATAAGTATCACCATTGTTAGGAATATTAAGAATCTCATTCTAGTTCCACTCACAAGATTGATCAATCGGTGTATTAATGAAAATCTTTTCCCATCCTGTCTCAAGGTGACCAAAGTAATCCCTATCCACAAAAAGGGCAACGTAGATGATGTTGATAAATATAGACCAATCTCTATAACGCCTATTTTTGGGAAAATTTTAGAAAAGATTATGCTTAAACAACTTGAGGAATACGTTACTAAACAAAACATATTGAACCAACGCCAATTTGGTTTCCAACATGGCAAAAGTACAACCATGGCTATTAATAGGCTTGTTGATGAGGTCATTACCTGTTTCGAAACAAAACAATTCTTAGGATGCACATTTTGTGATCTATCAAAAGCTTTCGATAGTATTAATCACAACATTCTAATAAACAAGCTTGAGTTGTACGGATTGTCAAATGGAGCCTTACAGCTTATTTTTAGTTTTCTCCACAATCGCCAGCAGGTTGTTCTGTTTAATAATGTATACTCCGAAATGACAATAGTTAACATAGGAGTGCCACAAGGCTCGATTTTAGGTCCGTTGCTCTTTTTGTTATACATTAACGACTTGGCTAAACATCTAGACAATAAAATCATACTTTTTGCGGATGACACTACTTGCTATAGTGTGGACTCAGACATCCCGTCTCTCTTGGACAGGATGGAACAAGATATTAATGCTGCTAGTGAATGGTTTACTTCAAACAGATTAACGCTTAATGTACTGAAAACTCAAAAAATGGTGTTTTCCCTTCGTTACATTTCTGAGATTGACAATCCGAGGTGTGTCAAATTTCTTGGTGTGACACTGGACCCGAAATTATGCTGGGATAATCACGTCATTGATATCTGTAAAAAATTGTCCAAGTCAACTTTTCTTATTAGGAATTTGCAATATGAGGTTAGTGAGCAGATCCTTATGATGATATACTACTCTTTATTTCAAAGTATTTTTAGCTATGCCATTATAACCTGGGGCCACAGCAGTCATTTAAAAACCGTTTTTAAATTGCAGCGCCGAGTAGTTCGAATTATTGGAGGTCTATCTTACAGAGCTTGTGTTAAAAATTATTTTAAAGAAAAAAGTATTCTCACCGTGCCCTGTCTTTATATTTTATATGCTTTATTATATGTGAAGTCTAATCTCACCACTTATAATAATCTCACAAATATGTCATTAATCACGAGATCTACCCATAGCATTTACACCGAATTCTATCGTGTAGGTAGAAGTAGAAATGCCATCAATTATTATGGGCCCAAATTATTCAATAAATTACCGAAACGTATTGCTAACTTACCTTTTTCGCAATTTAGCCGTACTATAAGAAATTTTTTATTAAAAAACGCATTTTACTCTCTCGATGAATTTTTAAATTGTAGCGATGTCCTGTGTAGTTTTTACCATTCGATTTGAATTATCTTGTAAATTGTATAATTTTAAACTCTTTATATTGTAATTTCATCTGACTTGACTTATGTACCCTAACGGTCATTAATAAATACTTACTTACTTACTTACTTACTTACTTACTTAATTTTGCAATTTTTTGATATTACAGTTTCTCATTTTTCGGTTTTTCACATTTTCAGTTTTTAATTTTTGTTATTTTCAATTTTTCGTTTCTTCAATTTTTCAAGTTCTCGATTTTTATTTTTCATTTTCTCGATTTTATGTCACAAATTTTCATTTTTTCAATTCCTTTATTTTTTGTCGTTTCTTTCGATTTTTCAATTTTTCGTTTCTTCAGTTTTTCGAATTGTCAGTTTCTCAATTTTTCGTTCCCACAATTTTTCATATTTCCGATTTTTATTTTTCAGTGTGGCGAATTTTTAATTTTTATTTTCTCGATGTATATCACAATTGTCCGTTTCTTCATTTCCTTTATTTTCGATTTAACAATTTTTCATTTGTTCAATTTTTCAAATTTTCAGGCTTTGAATTTTCAGTTCGTCCATTTTTCAATTTTTAAATTTTTCACTTTGCAGTTTTTGGATTTCCAGTCTTCCGATTTTCCAATTTCTTTAATTTGAAATATCTCTATTTCATAATACATATTTCTTTTTTTTGATTTTTCACTTTTTCGATTCTTAAGATTTTTCAAGTTTTCATTTTGTAATTTTTCGACTTCCAAAATTTTCAGTTTTTCGTTCCTTCAATTTTTCGGTTTGCATCAATTTTTCAATATTACAGATTTTCATTTTTCGATTTTTCAGTTTCTCAATTTTTCATTTTTCCCTTTTCCATTTTTTTTCCGATTTTTATTTTTCATTTTCCCGATTTTTTAATTTTCACTTTTTCGATTTTATATCACAATTTTCCTTTTTTTGATTTCCTTTCTTTTTTGTTGTTTCTTTTGATTTTACAATTTTTCCTTTATTAAATTTTTCAAATTTTCAAGTTTTTAACAATTTTTCTTCAAATTTTCAAGTTTAATTTGTACATTTTTTAAGTTTTTATTATACACTTTTTCGTTTTTTTATTTTTGATTTTTCAATTTTACAATTTGTCGACTTCCAAATTTTCCAATTTTTCAATATTACAATTTCTCATTTTTCCATTTTTCACATTCTCGATTTTCAATTTTCCGTCCCCTCAGTTTTTCAACTCCCCGATTTTTATTTTGCATTTTTCTGATTTTTTATTTTTCATTTTCTCGATTTTATATCACAATTTTTTGTCTTATCATTTCCTTAATTTTTGTTGTTTCTTTCGATTTTCCAATTTTTCGTTTGTTCAATTTTTCAAATTTTCAGGCCAATCGATTTCCATTTCGTCGATTTTTAAATTTTTAAATTTTTCAGTTTGCAATTTTTGGGTTTCCACCCCTTTTTATTTTTTGGATTTTCAATTTTTCGTTAAACTTTAGGTTTCTCAAATTCTCGACAGTTTTATATTTGGATTTCTTTATTTTTTTTTCAACTTTTCGATTTGCAATTTTTTAATTTTGCAATTTTTCGATATTAAGGTTTCTCATTTTTCGATTTTTCACATTCTCAGTTTTTAATTTTTGTTATTTTCAATTTTTCAAGTTTTCGATTTTTATTTTTCATTTTCCAGATTTTTTTAATTTTCATTTTCTCGATTTTGTCACAAATTTTCATTTTTTCAATTCCTTTATTTTTTGTCGTTTCTTTCGATTTTTCAATTTTTCGTTTCAACATCCCTTACTTTATTTTCCCCGTCGCCAGTACCAAGAAGTATTATGCCGCTATTACCGCAAACTCGCCTCTATCAACCACCGTGATTCAAATCAAAGCGGATGATAAAGACAGTGGCAAATACGGCAAGCTCGACTACTCTTTAGTGGGTGACAAAAACGAGTGTTTTGCCATTGATCATGCGTCTGGTATTATCAAAACCAAGAAGACGTTCGAGGACATTGACGACACCCAGTTACCTTTCAAACTGACCGTGAAAACCAGAGATAACCCTAACGCAACGAAAGACTACAACGAAATTGAAGCCCCAGTGGTTATCAATTTGATAACTAAAGACAATCGAATCGTTTTGGTGATAGGAGATGCTAAACCCGACGTGGTTCAAAAGAAAATCAATTTGATAACTGATATCATTCAAGAGCAGTCTGGATTGATAGTGGGTGTGGAAAAATTAGCAACTAGGGAGTTTATCGGTGGGAATGGTACCTTGGAAACTGACCCCGCGGGCACTGATGTTTGGTTTTACGTGATAGATCCAGAAACGGACGCTATTTTATCCAGAAACAGTACCACCGTGAAGAGATCCATTTTTGATAAAGCAGCAATGGATAATATCACTTTTGACATCACAGGACAAATTCAAAACACCGCTTTCAACATCCACGAACCTATAGTGTTACACAAAGTCAAAACGGCTTCCATTTCGTCGTTCAACGGCGAAGTTTTCCCCTACGCTTTGATAATTATAGCTTGCATCATCTTCGTTTTAGGCATAGTCGGAATTATTTACATTTGTGTGTCTTGGTCCAAGTACAAGTCGTACAAAGACCAGATGCAAAGACAGTACGTAGTACCGGCTAGTCCCGCGCGGTACGACACCGTCTACGTTGAGCCGAATTTGAAAGAATACGAAACGCAAGTTTTACAAATGTGTGTTCCTGTGGACGAACAGGACGACTACAATGATCTCCATTTAGACTTCAGCAATAAGAATCACGCTTTTAGCTTAGACAATGTTAGTTATATAAGTAAAGACAACAACTTGAAGAAATACGGTAGGTTTGAGGTGATTTTGACTTTGATTTTTTGATTTTTGGTTTTAAGGACAACAAAGTCCAGTTAGTAGTGAATCAGCCACTACGGTGAGAGCCTCCAGTGTTGGAGATGGCCATATTTTGAAAAGTGGCGAGCATTCGTTGAGACGTGATCACATGTATCACAATAGGTGAGTGATAGACGGTTTTGATTTTTTGTAATTTTGGTTTCGTAGGTCTTCAGATGACGAAGAAATGAATGCAAGCCCGACCAACGAGAACGTTATGTTCAAAGAAAAGAAAGACTATTCGCATTTAGGTTTCTCGTATGATCACTCGCCTGTTGAGACAACGACGGAATTGTAGATAACTCTTGTAAAGTCATTCTAATTGTAATTTAACCGTAGTCTAAGTACGTAATTACAAGGTTATAGGTTGTAATAATTTTATGCTGATTGTGTAATTTTATATTTTAATAAATGTTTTTATTGACCTTCGTTAAAAAAACACTGTGTGCTATAAAATAACAATTTATTTACAAAATTTACACACGGTCAGCGGTTGTGTATACATACATACAGAATCGTCAAAATGATAGGAATTAACAAGTATCGATACAAAAATATTAAATAAAATAAAATACAACATAACTAGTATCACACGCCAAACAAACAACATTCACACTCTTTACAGTACTAAAATCGGCAATAATGAGCATTAGGTGGCTACAAATCCGGGTACTACTTCCCGAACTTCGAAGCTATAGTGTACAAGGAATTCAACAATTGCAAGGCCCTAGCATCTTCGCATCTTCGATTAAACTCGGATCGACGATTTTAAGGTCCGAGTTCGTCGCGTCTTCGTGGTGCCTCACCCCAAAACCTCCAATCGAACTCGACGTTTCAAGAGTCTCAGTACTATTCACGGTACGACTCAACAAAGTGTGTACAGGAACGGCACTAGTGTCCACTTGCGTCGTACTATTCCCACATTCGCTAATCAACAAAAGAATCAATCGTCTCGTCAAGGGATTATTCTCAATTTCCTTCATCTTCTCCAAAAACTCAGCACAACACATTCAAAATTATTCGAGAGCTATCGGTGTTTTATTTTTGATACTCAGTGTAAAGTGCTGAATTATAAAAATTGGTCTAAAGTTATTTAGACAGCACTTTCCTCGCTCTTGAATCCGGTATAACATATTCAGTTTTGTCAGATAAATGTAAGATTCGATTTAGAGATTTTTTTGCTGATAACGCAGTAAAGAGATCCATCTGGCGACGTTTCTTCATTTTATAACACAATTTTTGGTTTCTTTATTTCCTTTATTTTTTTGTTGTTTCTTTCGATTTACAATTCTTTATTTATTCAATTTTTCAAATTTTCAGGCTTTCATTTTTCAATTCCATGATTTTCCACGTTTAAAATTTTTCAATTTGCAGTTTTTGGATTTCTAGTCTTATAATTTTTCAGTTTCTTTAATTTTCAATATTTTGATTTTACAATACATATATATTTCTTTTTTTTTATTTTTCACTTTTTCGAATTTAAAGTCTTTCGATTTTTCAAATTTTCATGTTTGATTTTCTCTTTTGACATTTTTCAAGTTTTCATCATAAACTTTTTCGTTTTTTTATTTTTGATTTTTCAATTTTACAGTTTCTTGACTTCTAAATTTTTCCATTTTTCGATTTGCAATTTTTTAATTTTGCAATTTTTTTATATTACAGTTTCTCATTTTTCGATTTTTCACATTTTCAGTTTTTAATTTTTGTTATTTTCAATTTTTCGTTTCCTCAATTTTTCAAGTTCTCGATTTTGTCACAAATTTTCATTTTTTCAATTCCTTTATTTTTTGTTGTTTTTTTTCGATTTTTCAATTTTTCGTTTCTTCAGTTTTTCGAATTTTTAGTTTCTCAATTTTTCGTTCCCACAATTTTTCATGTTTCCGATTTTTATTTTTCAGTGTGGCGAATTTTTAATTTTTGTTTTCTCGATGTATATCACAATTGTCCGTTTCTTCATTTCCTTTATTTTCGATTTTACAATTTTTCATTTGTTCAATTTTTCAAATTTTCAGGTTTTGAATTTTCAGTTCGTCCATTTTTCAATTTTAAAATTTTTCACTTTGCAGTTTTTGGATTTCCAGTCTTCCGATTTTCCAATTTCTTTAATTTGAAATATCTCTATTTCATAATAAATATTTCTTTTTTTTTGATTTTTCACTTTTTCGATTCTTAAGATTTTTCAAGTTTTCATTTTGTAATTTTTCGACTTCCAAAATTTTCAGTGTTTCGTTCCTTCAATTTTTCGGTTTGCATCAATTTTTCAATATTACAGATTTTCATTTTTCGATTTTTCAGTTTCTCAATTTTTCATTTTTCCGTTTTCCAATTTTTTTTTCCGATTTTTATTTTTCATTTTCCCGATTTTTTAATTTTCACTTTTTCGATTTTATATCACAATTTTCCTTTTTTTGATTTCCTTTATTTTTTTGTTGTTTCTTTTGATTTTACAATTTTTCCTTTATTAAATTTTTCAAATTTTCAAGTTTTAGCAATTTTTCTTCAAATTTTCAAGTTTAATTTGTACATCTTTTAAGTTTTTATTATACACTTTTCGTTTTTTTATTTTTGATTTTTCAATTTTACAATTTGTCGACTTCCAAATTTTCCAATTTTTCAATATTACAATTTCTCATTTTTCCATTTTTCACATTCTCGATTTTCAATTTTCCGTCCCCTCAGTTTTTCAACTCCCCGATTTTTATTTTGCATTTTTCTGATTTTTTATTTTTCATTTTCTCGATTTTATATCACAATTTTTTGTCTTTTCATTTCCTTAATTTTTGTTGTTTCTTTCGATTTTCCAATTTTTCGTTTGTTCAACTTTTCAAATTTTCAGGCCAATCGATTTCCATTTCGTCGATTTTTCAATTTTAAAATTTTTCAGTTTGCAATTTTTGGGTTTACACCCCTTTTTATTTTTTGGATTTTCAATTTTTCGTTAAACTTTAGATTTCTCAAATTTTCGACAGTTTTATATTTCGATTTCTTAATTTTTTCTTTCAACTTTTCGATTTGCAATTTTTTAATTTTGCAATTTTTCGATATTACAGTTTCTCCTTTTTCGATTTTTCACATTCTCAGTTTTTAATTTTTGTTATTTTCAATTTTTCGTTTCCTCAATTTTTCACGTTTTCGATTTTTATTTTTCATTTGCCTGATTTTTTAATTTTCATTTTCTAGATTTTATGTCACAAATTTTTTCAATTAATTTATTTTTTGTTGTTTCTTTTGATTTTTCAAATTTTCATTTCTTCAGTTTTTCGAATTTTCAGGCTTTGAATTTTCAGTTCGTCCATTTTCCAATTTTTAAATTTTTCACTTTGCAGTTTTTGGATTTCCAGTCTTCCGAGTTTCCAATTTCTTTAATTTTAAATATTTCTATTTCATAATACATATTTCTTTTTTTTTGATTTTTCACTTTTTCGATTCTTAAGATTTTTCAAGTTTTCATTTTGTAATTTTTCGACTTCCAAAATTTTCAATTTTTCGTTCCTTCAATTTTTCGGTTTGCATCAATTTTTCAATTTGGCAATTTTTCAATATTACAGATTTTCATTTTTCGATTATTCAGTTTCTCAATTTTTCATTTTTCCCTTTTCCAATTTTTTGTTTCCGATTTTTATTTTTCATTTGCTCGATTTTTTAATTTTCACTTTTTCGATTTTATATCACAATTTTCCTTTTTTTGATTTCCTTTATTTTTTTGTTGTTTCGATTTTACAATTTTTCCTTTATTAAATTTTTCAAATTTTCAGGTTTTTAGCAATTTTTCTTCAAATTTTCAAGTTTAATTTCTAAATTTTTTAAGTTTTTATTATACACTTTTTCGTTTTTTTATTTTTGATTTTTCAAATTTACAATTTGTCCAATTCCAAATTTATTTTCCAATTTTTCAATATTACAATTTCTCATTTTTCCATTTTTTACATTCTCGCAGTTTTTCAATTTTCCCTCCCGTCAGTTTTTCAACTCCCCGATTTTTATTTTGCATTTTTCTGATTTTTTATTTTTCATTTTCTCGATTTTATATCACGATTTTTTGTCTTTTCATTTCCTTAATTTTTGTTGTTTCTTTCGATTTTCCAATTTTTCGTTTATTCAATTTTTCAAATTTTCAGGCCAATCGATTCCATTTCGTCGATTTTCCAATTTTAAAATTTTTCAGTTTGCAGTTTTTGGGTTTCCACCCTTTTTTTATTTTTTGGATTTTCAATTTTTCGTTAAACTTTAGGTTTCTCAAATTTTGACAGTTTTATATTTCGATTTCTTAATTTTTTTTCAACTTTTCGATGTTTTAATTTTTCTTTTTTTAAATTTTTCAATTTTTTTTATTTCTCGATTTATAAAATTCAGATGTTTGAATGCTTTGATTGCTCAGTTACTCAATTTATCAATTTCTCAATTTTTTTCTATTTCTTGATGTTTCGATTTTTGGATTTTTCGCTTTTTCGATTTTCCAATTTTTCGATGTTTCGATTTTGCAGTTATCCGATTTTTCAATTTTTTTAAATTCTGGAGTTTCGATTTGTCGATTTTTCAGTTTTTCGATTTTTAGTTTTAGATTTTCGAATTTTTCTTTTTTGATTCTTTGATGTTTGGATTTCTTCATTTTTCAATTTTGCTATATTTCAATTGTTCAATATTTTAAATTTTAGATTTGTCGATTTCCGGATTTTTTCATTTTCCAGTTCTTCAGTATTTCTATTTTACAATTTTTCAAATTTTGACGTTGCTAAATTTTCAGTTTTCCGATTTTTCGATTAATACCTATATATATAAGTGGCGAGCATTCGTTGAGACGTGATCACATGTATCACAATAGGTGAGTTTTGGACGGTCTTGATTTTTTGTAATTTTGTGGTTATAGGTCTTCAGATGACGAAGAAATGAATGCAAGCCCAACCAACGAGAACGTTATGTTCAAAGAAAAGAAAGACTATTCGCATTTAGGTTTCTCGTATGATCACTCTCCTGTTGAGACAACGACGGAATTGTAGATAACTCTTGTAAAGTCATTCTAATTGTAATTTAACCGTAGTCTAAGTACGTAATTACAAGGTTATAGGTTGTAATAATTTTATGCTGATTGTGTAATTTTATATTTTAATAAATGTTTTTATTGACCTTCGTTAAAAAAACACTGTGTGCTATAAAATAACAATTTATTTACAAAATTTACACACGGTCAGCGGTTGTGTATACATACATACAGAATCGTCAAAATGATAGGAATTAACAAGTATCGATACAAAAATATTAAATAAAATAAAATACAACATAACTAGTATCACACGACAAACAAACAACATTCACACTCTTTACAGTACTAAAATCGGCAATAATGAGCATTAGGTGGCTACAAATCCGGGTACTACTTCCCGAACTTCGAAGCTATAGTGTACAAGGAATTCAACAATTGCAAGGCCCTAGCATCTTGACTGTCTTCGCTTAAACTCGGATCGACGATTTTAAGGTCCGAGTTCGTCGCGTCTTCGTGGTGCCTCACCCCAAAACCCCCAATCGAACTCGACGTTTCAAGAGTCTCAGTACTATTCACGGTACGACTCAAAAAAGTGTGTACAGGAACAGCACTAGTGTCCACTTGCATCGTACTATTCCCACATTCGCTAATCAACAAAAGAATCAACCTTCTCGTCAAGGGATTATTCTCAATTTCCTTCATCTTCTCCAAAAACTCGTCTTCCGTAGTGTTCAACTTCCTCAAAATCCTTTGCAAGCGATTGTCGTCGTCCTTCCCCGTGGTGTTCATAAAGTCGATCAAAATCCCATGAACCTGAGTCGAATTAAGCTCGAGCTGTGGAAGAGCCCTCAACTCGTACTTGATAGTCAATTCCGGTTCTTCTGTTTCTGCTTCCGTGGTAACCGGAATTGGCTCAGTCGTTCCAAAATTCTCATTAATCGACGCTGGATCAAACGAGAAAGCTTTCTTCCATAGTTTACCCACGTCTGGTGACGTGGTCCAGTGGTCATCGGGCAACTGAGTCGAGCTTTTCGTGGTACTTTCAACATCGTCTTTGTTGGAATTGTGCAACTTATTAAATTGTGAAACGAAAGACTGACTATCGGCACCTTGTAAATTCTCCAAATCCGGATTAATCGAATTCTTCACGTCCAAACTGTTAGTGGTGTTAAACGCAATCAAGTACCCCCAAGTCGGTCTAGCAGCAGACGGCGTAGGAAAGAACGGAGGAAAACTCGACTTAGAATCCGCATCCGAAAAATTCAAAAGCTCATCATCCCCCAAATCCGTATCTTCGTTTTCTAGCGCCGGCGGTTCCGTGGGTCGTACCTCCTCCAGTACCTTTTTAAAAGTGGCAGGATCGTCAAGGTACGAAGACAACGCTTGCGTGAAAACTTTGGCCAGTTGACGCACTTTAGGGGTAGCTTGTGCCGGACCCTTCGAGTGCTGCCCTTCCAAATCCTCTTCGTCGCTTTTGACCCTTGACGTTATCGTCGTCGTCTCTTCGTTTCCTTCGTTCTCCTCGCTGAAGAGCTCGTTGTAGCGATCCATCGTCATCTGAGTCAACAGTTCCGTCAATCTCTTCTTCTCCAGTTCCAACTTAGTCAGACTATCTTCGTCCTCCTTCTCTTCCTCTTGTTCTTCTTCTTCTTCCTTTTCTGCGGCGATTCCGTCCAAAGCATTTGCAAAGTACACCGCAAGCGTGTGGAGGGTTTGTGGACCAGCGGATGGGGGAATCACCAGACCTGGTCTAGGGTCACTCGAGTAGTTGTTGTGACTTGCCATTTCCGCCAGCGCGCTGATCATACTGTCCACGTTTTCGAAAGTTGATGGTAGGGTGGGTTGAGGGGTGGTGAATGGGGTGGGTTGTGTTGGCTCGGGGGTGGATGGGTTAGCGAAAGGACTAGCTGAGGAGATTTTGTACGTTGGGTACGTTGGAGTTGGTCCGTTTTCAGTAGTAGTGGAAGTGTATATGGGTTTACCTGAAAAATTAGGTTCTGGTGGTAGTTGGAATGGTCGTGGACGAATTATATCACTAATCAAACTTCGTTGCGTAGGTACGGTCACAGCATTCTTGGTGACAAAGAAACCAGAAACTTTAGTTTGAGGTGTGTAGGTGGTACCAAAAGATTTCTGAGTAGGGGTTTCAGTACCGAAACTATTAAAAACGGTAGGAGTGACCAAGTCGTTTATCGTGCTTGTGAAATAGGTGGTGGGTGTTACGGAATTGAAATCAGGATGATAAGTACTGAAGCTCAGAGGTGTAACTGAATTAAACTCCGGGTTAACTGTGGTACCAAACGACGAAACGGTGCTCGGTGTGGTACCACTCTTGAACGTAGACTCGAAATCGCCATGATTTTGTGCGGAGAGCGGGACTGGGGTACTACTACTAAACGGCTTGGACGTAGTACTGAACGATTTAAATCCAAACGGAGACGATTTTCCAGTATCAGAAGACGTGGTTTTACTGAATGGTTTAGGTGTGGTGAACCCGATAGAATTTCCATTGACGTGAATTTCCACCCCCGGGATTTTCGTAGTGGTTTGAACTTTCCCAAAGAAACGCACTTGAGGCGTTCCTCTGTTAAAACTATCAGAAACACTCAAGATTTCAGCCGAGGTTTTAGCGGTACTACTTGGGAATTGTGTAGATTTACTAAATGGTGCTGGAGTGGCACCACCGAACACCGATTTCGAGAGAGAAATTAGTGTCCTACCCGACGACGTAGTCAGAGTTTTCTGGGTAATTGGTAACGAAAACGGAGTGGGTGTTACTCCACCAAATAGAGATTTGGATAGTACTATTGTGGATTTTCCGGCAGACGGAGTCGTAACGTCACTTTTAACAAACTTTCCATAGACAGTAGCGTGGTCGATTATCTTACTGGTACTACTGTCGGTTTTCGGACGATAAGTACTCGTTGAGCCAAGATTAAAAGAACCTTGAGGCGGTACTGTTACATTTGCAGCTGGTTTTGGAGAATATGCAGACGCAGTCGACAGTGCAGTGGGACGCAAACTTTTGTCAGTCCTTCCAGTGTTAAACAACGAAATTGGTACTACTTTCGTGGTAGTAGGATTTTCAGTAGTCGTACTATCAGGAGCCACCGTCGTAGTAAAGTAACTCACAGTAGTACCAAAACTCTTACTCTTATCAGTACCCCTCAAAGTCGTACCCACTTGACTTCCCACAAACGGTCTCCCGTTATTGATAGGCTGCGTTGTCAAGTACTGCGGCGTCACGGAAGAAATACCCGAAAATGTTTTAGTCGAGTAGTACTGCGGCTCCTTGAGCTCACTATAAGTTTCGCGATGATTGGGATACGGATTAGGAGACGTCGATTTGTAGTTCTGGTCAATTCGGTTGAACGAGTTTTTATAGAACGATGCGGTTTCTTGGGTGATTTGGGCTTCGTCAGAATCACCACCCTCAAGTCGTCGATTAATAATGTCGTTTTTGGTCAAAGCTACGGTACTTTTTTGTTTCAAAGTACCGTCTTTACCACTCAACTTCTTTTGCTGGGAAGTAGTACTAAATGCTTTCTCTTGGCGGCTGTTGGGAAAAGTGGACGCTTTGTTGTTGCGGTTAGTACTGACCGGTTTTTGAGTTCCGGTACTCACAACATCTGGCTGGTTTGTGGAAACAGAAGTCTTCGTTTCTTGGTTGGGAGTACTTTGAGTTGGTTCTGGCACGTAATTTTTGTCACTGTCGGTGGATGAAGTACCGATAGTTTGTTCTTTGAAGCTTCTATTATCGGTGTTTAGATTTATTTCTTGTTTGTTTGAGTTAATTTGCACTTTGAATTCGGTCGAAATAAATGAACCCTGATTTCGAGTGGTACCGGAATTGAAATCATCGTCATAGTTATAGGTGCTAGACGTAAAATCAGTGGGTTTTTGGGTACCACCGGAGTTGAAATTGTTGTCATAATTGTTATTGTTGGAAGTGAATGAAGCCGGTTTTTGGGTACTATCTGAGTTGAAATTGTCGTGATTATGACTACTGGAAGTAAATGCAGTTGGTTTTTGAGTAGTACCTGAGTTGAAATCGTTGCCATAATTATGATTATTATGAGTAAATGAAGCCGGTTTTTGGGTATTACCTGAGCTGAAATCGTTATAATTATGATTGTTGGAATTAACTGAGGTCGGTTTTTGAGTAGTACCAGAATTGAAATTGTCGTAATTACGATTACTGGAAGTAAACGAAGTCCGTGTTTGAGTAGTACCAGAATTGTAATCGTCATAATTATGGTTATCAAATCTTTGTCTTCCAGAGTCAATCTTGGAATAACTTGCAGTAGTGGTCTCTGGGTTTGTGGGTTTTTGGTGGACGAACGACGTTGAGTGATGGAAGTTGCTACTCTCGGTAGTACTGGTAACTTCGCGATCATGATCCGACGAAAATTGTCGTGAAAAACCTGTATTAACTCGGCGCGAATGATCATTTCTGTTTGACTGTTGAAACGAGTTGAAGTTATTTCTTGCTGATTCAGTAGTCCTAGAACCAAATGAAGTTGACTGTCGAAAACCATTTGGTTGATGATTTTGACTTGGAACAAACGATTTTTCTTTCCTGTTATTAAAGGTAGCTTGATTGGCATTATGTTTGTTGTTGTTATTATTATTATTTCTATTTTCGTTCCTTCTGGCGGAATTTTGTCGTCCAAAATCATAATCTAAGTTTCTATCAGTACTAAAATCGTCTTGTGCTTGGTTCTGATTTACTCTTTTTTCGTTTCTGGAATTAAAATTAGGTTGATTGTCATTATTGTTGTTGTTATTATTTCTATCTTCCTTGTTCCTTCTGGCAGAGTTTTGTCGTCCAAAATCATAATCCAAGTTTCTATCAGTACCAAAATCGTCTTGTGCTTGGTTTTGATTTACTCGTTTTTCGTTTCTGGTGTTAAAATTAGCTTGATTGTCGTTATTGTTATTATTATTATTTCTATCTTCGTTCCTTCTGGCAGAGTTTTGTCGCCCAAAATCATAATCTAGGTTTCTATTAGTACTAAAATCGTCTTGTGTTTGGTCTTGATTTACCCTGATTTCTTTTCTGTCGTTAAAACTAGCTTGGTGGCCGTTATAGTTATTATTATTATTTCTTCTGGCAGCATTTTGGCGTCCAAAATCATAATCTAAGTCTTGTTCTTGTTCTTGATTTATCCTTCCAGTACTCACAGGCCTTCTCGTGCCCGCACGTTGCGAATTTTTCCTAGCCGGTACCACCCGTCTTTCTTCGTTGTCAACCGAAGGTTGATGTTGGAACTGAACCGGTTTTCGCCCCCTTTGGTTCGATCGATTTGGTTCTTCATTTCTGTTCTGCTTCTGGAACGGCGTCGGCTGGTTCAGATTCCTATCTCTGACGAAATCTGAAGACGGAGATCTTGACAGATCATTGCTTTGATCGAAATCGTCTCTGTACGTTGGTGCGTGATTATTGGCTCTATTTTCCGAAGAAACCTTTTTGGAAGATCTATTGTCAAAACCTCGCGACACTGACGATCTTTCTTCAGTTCGCATGACGGCGCCATGGTTTTGAACCCGTCGGGAGAGTTTTCTTTTAGCGTTTTCTTCACGGAGTTGTTCTGCGCTTTCTTCGTACAAGCTTGGAGAGTTGGTGCAGTTGACTTTGAACCACCATTCGCAGATTAATTCAGATTGTTGGAAAATTGTCCCGTTGGGACAAAGGAATGAGATTTTCTTGTTTTCTTCACAGATGTGGAAAACCTACGAAAACGTACTGTAGCTACGTACTGCCGGGGTTTTAATTCACTTACTTGACAGTCGGTTTCCAAGTCCGCGTAGTACCCAGAGTCGACGTCTCGACAGTTGAAGCTAGTCCGAGGAATGTGGGACAAAACAGGAAAGTCGACGCCCGGTTTTCCTTGGACGCCTTGGTAAAAAACTAGTTCTTCTTCATCGAATTTTTTCGTTTGGTTGTCTGTGTGTACTTCGTTGTCGATTTTTTGACCGTGGACCACCTGCGAGAATGTCGTAAGTAAACATTTTCTAAACGGAAGTGGTACTCACCATAGGTCGTATGCAGTACGCCGCATAGAAGAGTACTGCCAGACCTGCAATAAAAAATCTTTGTTATTGATGAAGCATGTCATACTCGATCATTGTTTACGCTGTTTTGAAACAAAGACGAAGTGGCGCAAGGTTTGTTTTAGAATCACGTTTACACAGTACGACACAGGTACCACCTGGTGCTGCAACAGTTGCTTCTTTAATGATTTTAAGCGCACGGAACGACATGCTTTTACAAATTAGAAATTCGCGATATAGGTACTTCATGCTAAAAAGGTCATAATCGATCAGATTTTTCGCGTATTCGCCAACATCCTTGGCTCTATTAACTAACCGTTTCTTGGGGCCAGATTAGCATATTCTTCATTAGCAAAACCGAACCTTATGTAACAACACACCATTGTTCATCTTCATTCTAATTACTTAGTACTTTAGTTAGTACCTCAATCAGAACAATCGGTCCTGGAAGTTACCCAATCGAACGGTTTCATCAAGCAGTTATGTGATCTGGACGTATCCGTTGATTAGTATTGGTACTACTTAATACCTCACGTTACAAAAGATCCTCCAACTATTTAAGTACCGACACGGTACTGCGCCAACAATCGCAGCAGAAAATTGTTTAATAATTTCAGGAATTAAAGCATGCAACGTCTGTAATGGTTTTATAATAACAGACTGATAAATATTCATGTGTATTATACCAGTAAAAGTTTTGAAGAATAGGTACTATATTCGCTGTCATGATTCTGTGCTCAATGCTTCAATTAAATGGGTCGATTTGTCAATAATAATAAAATGATTTATGGACGATTTTAAATTCCTGCGACGTCCTCGTAATACATTCAGATCAAGAGCAGGTGATGAGATGCGTTCGGTACGTGTTTTTGAGTACCCGCCATTAATGTATTTTTAACATTTCACCTCATTAACCCAGAAAGTTACAACAAAATGTGTGATTTTTTATTTAAGTCGAGCGTAGTACTCGAAGAGCATGTGGTACTCGTCGTGTGCTTGATCTTTGATAAGGTTAAAATTGTGGTGTAATAGGAATTCTAAATGTGAGGTGGCAATAAATTTAGATTAGTGGCGAACTGGAAAATGGGGCTATTTAATTAGAAACCGTGTTTCTCTGTAGAGCATAAAATCAACTATACAAGTACAAATGAAAATGGCTAGAATGCGGAGAAATAAAAAAGGAAAAATATAGGAACAATTTTGAAAACAAGAAAAAGGTACAACAATACTATCGAATAAGACTGACCAAAAAGTCTAGAGAAACTGAAAAATGCTAAATTATGTACTAATGTTTTGCAATATTTGAAACCATTACCAGTTAAAAAATTTAATACTGATGGTAGAAAACATGATAAAAATCTAAAAAATGTGTGAGAAAATGAAAACAACAGTTCTGTAGTGTACTAAAAATACACACAAATAAAGAAAGTGAAAAAGACAACGACAGTGGTTGTTTATCGCCAAATAGTAAAGAAAACAAAGACAAAAAGTATTACCTCGCCCACCCGCCTTTTATTTCCTTAGAAGGTATGCAATTTGGCAAAATCAATCTTATCTTGTCAATCACTGAAAAGGAGGCAAGGAGGGTGGGCGGGGCTAATTATGTGGTCACGTTCGGTCAAGTCAGACGCGTGAAATCAATTTTATATAGCAAATAGTGCAACAAAAAAATGCGATTCTATTTCATCCTAAGTTGTATTATCAGTTCCCACTCCCACTCGAGAGAAGAACATAATTAGCCCCGCCCACCCACCTTGCGTCTTTTTCAGTGATTGATTTTATCCGCCAAAATAAGAATGATTTTGCCAAATTGCATACCTTCTAAGAAAACTAAGGGCGGGTGGGTGGACCTAGTATCAACTTGCCAAGATAAGACTGATTTTGGCAGATGACGAACTTTCTAAGAAAATAAAGGGTGGGTGGGCGGGGCTAGTATTTGATAAGATAAGACCGATTTTAGCAGGTCAGGTGCATGAAATAAGAAATAACTTTTATCGCAAATAGTGTAACAAAAAAAAATGCGATTAGCTCGTCAGAAGAACATAATTAGCCCCGCCCACCCACCCTGCCTCCTTTTCAGTGATTGATTTCATCTGCCAAGATAAGATTGATTTTGCCAAATTGCATATCCTCTAAGCAAACAAAGGGAGGGTGGGTGGGGCTAGTATCTACTTGCTAAAATAAGACTGATTTTGGCAGATGACGTACTCTCTAAGAAAAGAGAGGGTGGGTGGGCGGGGTTAGTATTTGATAAGATAAGGCGGATTTTAGCAGGTCAGGTGCATGAAATAAGAAATAAGTTTTATGGCAAATAGTGTAACAAAAAAAATTGCGATTAGCTCGACAGAAGAGCATAATTAGCCCCGCCCACCCACCCCGCCTCATTTTCAATAATTGATTTCATCTGCCAAGATAAGATTGATTTTGCCAAATTGCATATCCTCTAAGCAAACAAAGGGAGGGTGGGTGGGGCTAGTATCTACTTGCTAAGATAAGACTGATTTTGGCAGATGACGTACTCTCTAAGAAAAGAGAGGGTGGGTGGGCGGGGCTAGTATTTGATAAGATAAGGCGGATTTTAGCAGGTCAGGTGCATGAAATAAGAAATAAGTTTTATGGCAAATAGTGTAACAAAAAAAATTGCGATTAGCTCGACAGAAGAGCATAATTAGCCCCGCCCACCCACCCCGCCTCATTTTCAATGATTGATTTCATCTGCCAAGATAAGATTGATTTTGCCAAATTGCATATCCTCTAAGCAAACAAAGGGAGGGTGGGCGGGGCTAGTATCTACTTGCTAAGATAAGACTGATTTTGGCAGATGACGTACTCTCTAAGAAAAGAGAGGGTGGGTGGGCGGGGCTAGTATTTGATAAGATAAGGCGGATTTTAGCAGGTCAGGTGCATGAAATAAGAAATAAGTTTTATGGCAAATAGTGTAACAAAAAAAAATTGCGATTAGCTCGACAGAAGAAGATAATTAGCCCCGCCCACCCACCCTGCCTCCTTTTCAGTGATTGATTTCATCTGCCAAGATAAGATTGATTTTGCCAAATTGTGTACCTTCTAAAAAAACAAAGGGCGAGTGGGCGAGGCTAGTATCTACTTGCCAAGATAAGACTGATTTTGGCAGATGACGTACTCTCTAAGAAAATAGAGGGTGGGTGGGCGGGGCTAGTATTTGATAAGATAAGGCGGGTTTTGGCAGGTCAGGTGCATGAAATAAGAAATAACTTTTATCGCAAATAGTGTAACAAAAAAAAATGCGATTAGCTCGTCAGAAGAACATAATTAGCCCCGCCCACCCACCCTGCCTCCTTTTCAGTGATTGATTTCATCTGCCAAGATAAGATTGATTTTGCCAAATTGCATATCCTCTAAGCAAACAAAGGGAGGGTGGGTGGGGCTAGTATCTACTTGCTAAAATAAGACTGATTTTGGCAGATGACGTACTCTCTAAGAAAAGAGAGGGTGGGTGGGCGGGGCTAGTATTTGATAAGATAAGGCGGATTTTAGCAGGTCAGGTGCATGAAATAAGAAATAAGTTTTATGGCAAATAGTGTAACAAAAAAAATTGCGATTAGCTCGACAGAAGAGCATAATTAGCCCCGCCCACCCACCCCGCCTCATTTTCAATGATTGATTTCATCTGCCAAGATAAGATTGATTTTGCCAAATTGCATATCCTCTAAGCAAACAAAGGGAGGGTGGGTGGGGCTAGTATCTACTTGCTAAGATAAGACTGATTTTGGCAGATGACGTACTCTCTAAGAAAAGAGAGGGTGGGTGGGCGGGGCTAGTATTTGATAAGATAAGGCGGATTTTAGCAGGTCAGGTGCATGAAATAAGAAATAAGTTTTATGGCAAATAGTGTAACAAAAAAAATTGCGATTAGCTCGACAGAAGAGCATAATTAGCCCCGCCCACCCACCCCGCCTCATTTTCAATGATTGATTTCATCTGCCAAGATAAGATTGATTTTGCCAAATTGCATATCCTCTAAGCAAACAAAGGGAGGGTGGGCGGGGCTAGTATCTACTTGCTAAGATAAGACTGATTTTGGCAGATGACGTACTCTCTAAGAAAAGAGAGGGTGGGTGGGCGGGGCTAGTATTTGATAAGATAAGGCGGATTTTAGCAGGTCAGGTGCATGAAATAAGAAATAAGTTTTATGGCAAATAGTGTAACAAAAAAAAATTGCGATTAGCTCGACAGAAGAAGATAATTAGCCCCGCCCACCCACCCTGCCTCCTTTCCAGTGATTGATTTTATCCGCCAAGATAAGATGGATTTTGCCAAATTGCATACCTTCTAAGAAAACAAAGGGCGGGTGGGCGGGGCTAGTAGCTACTTGCCAAGATAAGACTGATTTTGGCAGATGACATATCCTCTAAGAAAACAGAGGGTGGGTGGGCGGGGCTAGTATTTGATAAGATAAGGCGGATTTTGGCAGATCAGGTGTATGAAATAAGAAATAACTTTTATAGCAAATAGTGTAACAAAAAAAATTGCGATTAGCTGGACAGAAGAACATAATTAGCCCCGCCCACCCACCCTTGCTCCTTTTCAGTGATTGATTTCATCTGCCAAGATAAGATTAATTTTAACAAATTGCACACTTTCTAAGAAAACAAAGGGCGGGCGGGCGGGGCTAGTACCTACTTGCCAAGATAAGACTGATTTTGGCAAATAGTATTCCAAGAAAATAGAAGGTGATTTATTTTCTTTGAGGATATGTGATTTGACAAAATCAGTCTTATCTTGGCAAGTATTAGCCCCGCCCACCCGCCCTTTATTTTTTAATAACCCACAAAGTGTGAATAATCTTTCATTATCAAATCATTGGGACACCCTGTATATATAAAAAAATGAAAAATATGAAATAATAAATTCAATTAAAACAAACACGAAAAACAGTGCTTGATTTCGGAAAAATCTATAACACAGGAATATTTAGCCCACGAAAATTTGAATAAATAAAACATAGAGAAATATAAAACAATAGAAGATTTAGAACTGTAAGCATTGATAGCCTAAAAGAAAATAAACAAAACTCGGAAGAAAAACGGAAAAGTAATACAAAAATTGATCCAAGGTAAATTAGATAGAACTTCCGGTTTTTACGAAAAATTATAGAATTTGAGTTTGCGAATTTTATTTTTTGTTGATAATCCATGTATTCCCAGATGTGTATAAACAGATACATTTTGATTAAACCTTAAAATGTTTGGAAGATTTCACACCATTCTGTTTTGAAAAAAAAATCTGGATGTCTAAAATATCAAGGCGGATTCATAACCCACAAGTATAAAAGGATTTTATTTTATATAATTTAAATAATACTCCTATTTACTACGCAAAATTTGTGAGAGAACGTCATCACATTGTTTGTGGGGACGATTAAGCAAGTTTTGATGACAATAAATGACAGTAAAAACAAATTAGAAAATATAAGAAAAAATAAAGAAACTCAAAAGAAGAAAGTTAAAATAGAAGATAAATAAAGGTAAGCATCCTGTATGTAGAAATTTGGAGGTACTTAAAACATACACAAAAAAAAAAGAAAAAATAGGATATAGTTTCTATTAGTTTAGTTTAGATTTTAAAACTAAATTAAATAAAAGAAAAAAACGTAATTATTAAAGCAGAATTAAGTATATACAGGCGAAAATTACACTAGAGGAAAAATATTGGAGGGAAAAAATAAGACAAAATAAACCAAAAACCCTTAGAACTCATTCAAATTAGTTAGGACATAGGTGGACAATTAGTTAGGTAACTACAAGAATTTTTAAATCTCACATATAAATCTAACCAATTTAGAAACAAATGTCAAAGGTAACACTTTGCAGCTAATTACTACACATTAATTAACCTCAACCAGCGATCAGATACAATTTCGCGAACACTAAATCAGTGCACATCAAATTACACGTGAAATAAACCACACCCTACACTTAATTAAACAATTAACTTCAAGATTTTATCAAACCCGAATCCAACATCCGCAAGACCCATATAGCAAACTACCGATTTCAGCAACCAACAAAAAACCATTAATGTATTTTTAATTTGTACCTCATAAAGCCATAAATCAAACATCAAGGCTCCGTTCATCCTTTTCTAACAATTAAATTCGACAATATTACCAAAGCGTCCCAATTAAAGTGTTTGTTTTTTGCGACACTAAAAGACATCCAAAACCACCCACTCTGAAAGCATAAATTTAATTTAATCGTGAACTTTTGAAAAATCGTTCTAGGTTAAGGCCGGCCGCATTCGCAATGGATCCTCTTCGAGAAGAATAATAATTAATTTTAATCTTACCTAATTTGAATATGTGATACCTCTCCATTGTCGGTGCACTTCTGCAACAAAAGCACTTAAATTAATTACATATGTTTGCTTAATTGGATGTTTCGACAAATCGATGCCATAAAGCATGGTGTGTTTTGAGGTTACTGAAGCGATTTTAATATATGAAAATTTTCATAACTGCTGGGTTCCCAGACAGGTACCCCCACAGCGGTTGCCCAATTTGAAAGTCCGAATAATGGCAGACACAATGGATTGTTACTTGGGAGTTAACAAATGTTGACAAGAAGTGTTGTTCAGTCGCATGAAACTGTGTGATAATGATAACGGAGATATACGTAGTGTTTTTAAATTATACAGTTCAATTTAGTGTAAACAAGAGCTATAATAAAAGAGCAATTTTGAAATGTTTTGGTTGATGATATCAGAGTTATGACATCATCAGTAATTGTTTTTTCCGCACCCAACACACCCGCAAAAATAATTTGTTAAAGGACAGTTGTTTGGAATTTTGAAAAATAATTTATTTTTTGTTTTGGTGACCATCTTTCCGGAAGACGAAAATCCGGGTATGTTCGAAGCAAAAATAAACTGAGGTGCGACAAGACGGTGCTGCACCTCATTAATTTATATCGTTTACATAATTTGTCGGCGTAGATGAATCAGAAACACGGATCTACAGAGTTGCTTGTGAATCAACGGGAAACGTACATTCTCAGTACATGCTAGACTTCAATTGTTTATGTTTATAACTGAAAGAATGCGACTATTAAGCACGTCCCATAATTCTTGTTTTATTATTATTAAATAGGCGACATTCTCAAGAAAACGTCAAGAAAACATTAAACATTTGTGGAAGTTACTGCACAATATTTTTAAAATAATTGTGTTAAAAATCAAGGCGGAATCATTAACCACGGTTATGAGAGTACATCATTTTATAATATTTAGATAATCTTTACTGCACAAAATGATGAGCGGCTTTGTCTAATTGTTGATGGGGATGCTTATAAAAATTGTGGTTAGTTAAAATTTGATAACAATCAGTCCGGTAGTTTCGAAGACTAACTCCGCAAATAGACAGACGCAAACGGGAGATCTATTATTTCGTACTCTAGGCATTATGAAACGTCGAGAAATCAAAATTAAAGTTATATTCAGTGTTATTGCTACAAAGCGACCATTTGAAACATATACACGGTGAGTCAATAATAAGATAACTCATGTATTACTTATTATTGTATATTAAATTGTGATGCCACATTGTTAAATTATTCAAATGTTCTTTAATTTTTTCTCGACGTTTCATGCTCCATTATGTGTCCCATTTCCGTCTGTACCGATTTTTCTTAGGCAAAACTTCAGGGTAAGTCACGAAAATTTATTTTTAACTATATAGAGTTTATTTCAGAGGCTTCCACGGTCGGAGTCAATATATGATACCATATATCATTTTAAACTAGTTTGAAGTTTTTAAGAATAAAAAAATCATCACAATTGAGATCGGGTGGGTGGGCGCGGTTTATATTTAGCCTTTTATTCTTAATATGCATGCATTTTTTGAACACGATACTCAAAAATATGTTTTTAATTTTTTGTACAGAAATAAGTATTTTGCAGTTAAGCTCCGCCCACTGGGTGCACAACGAATAAAAAAAATCATCACAATGGAGATGGGGTGGGTGGGCGGGGTTAATATTTAGCCTTTTTTTCTTAATGTACATATTTTTTTTTGTTGCGAAAAGATGGCTATGTATATTAAGAAAATAAAAGACAAAATATAACCCCGCCCACCCGCCCTATCTCAATTCTGATGATTTTTCTTTATTCGTCGTTAGCCGAGAGGCGGATCCTAATTGCAAAATCCATAATGCCTTACAAAAATCTAATATTTTAAACGTGTTTTAAGTTTCTAAGAATAAAAAAAATCATCACAATTGGGATGGGGTGGGTGGGCGGGATTTATATTTAGCCTTCTTATCTTAATGTACATGTTGTTTTTGTTGTGAAAAGATGGCTATGTATATTAAGAAAATAATAGGCAAAATATAAGCCCCGCCCACCCCCCCTATCTTAATTCCGATGATTTCTTTTTATTCGTCGTAAGCCGAGAGGCGGATCCTAATTGCAAAATTCATAATGCCTTACAAAAATTTACTATTGTAAACATGTTTCGAGATTCTAAGAATAAAAGAAATTATCAGAATTGAGATGGGGTGGGTGGGCGGGGTTTATATTTAGCCTTTTTATCTTAATGCATGTTGTTTTTGTTGTGAAAAGATGGGTACGTATATTAAGAAAATAAAAGGCAAAATATAAGACGCACCCACCCGCCCTATCTTAATTCCGATGATTTTTTTTTATTCGTCGTAAGCCGAGAGGCGGATCCTAATTGCAAAATTCATAATGTCTCACAAAAATTTACTAGTGTAAACGTGTTTTGAGTTTCTAAGAATAAAAAAAATCATCACAATTGAGATAGGATGGGTGGGCGGGGTTTATATTTAGCCTTTTTATCTTAATGTACATGTTGTTTTTGTTGTGAAAATATGGCTATGTATATTAAGAAAATGAAAGATAAAATATAAGCCCCGCCCACCCGCCCTATCTCAATTACGATGATTTTTTTTATTCGTCGTAAGCCGAGAGGCGGATCCTAATTGCAAAATCCATAACGCCTTACAAAAATTTACTATTGGAAACGTGTTTTATGTTTCTAAGAACGAAAAAATCATCACAATTGAGACGGGGTGGGTGGACGGGGTCTATATTTGGCCTTTTTTTTCTTAATGTACATGTTTTTTTTGTTGTGAAAAGTTGACTATGTATATTAAGAAAAAAAAAAGGCAAAATTTAAGCCCCGCCCACCCGCCCTATCTTAATTCCGATGATTTTTTTATTCGTTGTAACTCGAGAGGTGGGTCCTAATTGCAAAATCCATAATGCCTTACAAAAATTTACTATTGGAAACGTGTTTTGAGATTCTCAGAATAAAAAAAATCATTGCAATTGAGATGGGGTGGGTGGGCGGGGTCGATATTTAGCCTTTTTTTTCTTAATGTACATGTTTTTTTTTGTTGTGAAAAGATGGCTATGTATATTAAGAAAAAATACACAAAATATAAGCCCCGCCCACCCGCCCTATCTTAAATCTGATGATTTTTTTTTATTCGTCGTAAGCCGAAAAGCGGATCCTAATTGCAAAATTCATAATGCCTTACAAAAATTTACTATTGTAAACGTGTTTTGAGATTCTAAGAATAAAAAAAATCATCACATTTGAGATAGGGTGGGTGGGCGGGGTTTATGTTTTTTCCTTTTTTCTGAATATACATAGTGTTCTTTGAATACCATGATACTCAAAATTATATTTTTAATTTCTTGTACAGAAATAAGTATTTTGCAGATAAGCTCCGCCCCCTTGGTTTACGGCGAATGAAAAAAATCATCAGAATTGAGATGGGGTGGGTGGGCGGGATTTATATTTAGCCTTTTTATCTTAATGTACATGTTGTTTTTATTGTGAAAAGATGGCTATGTATATTAAGAAAATAAAAGACAAAATATAAGCCCCGCCCACCCGCCCTATTTCAATTCTGATGATTTTTTTTATTCCTCGTAAGCCGAGAGGCGGATCCTAATTGCAAAATCCATAATGCCTTACAAAAATTTACTATTGGAAACCTGTTTTATGTTTCTAAGAATGAAAAAAATCATCACAATTGAGATGGGGTGGGTGGGCGGAGTCAATATTTAGCCTTTTTTCTTAATGTACATGTTTTTTTGTTGTGAAAATATGACTATGTATATTAAGAAAAAAAAGACAAAATATAATGGCTATGTATATTAAGAAAAAAAAGACAAAATATAAGCCCCGCCCACCCGCCCTATCTCAATTCTGATGATTTTTTTTTATTCGTCGTAAGCCGAGAGGCGGATCCTAATTGCAAAATCCATAACGCCTTACAAAAATCTACTATTTTAAACGTGTTTTAAGTTTCTACTGATAACAAAAATGATCACAATTGAGATTAGGTGGGTGGGCGGGGTCTATATTTTACCTTGTTTTCTTAATATTCATAGTATTTTTTGAACAAGACGATACTCAAAAACATATTTTTAATTTCTTGTAAAAAACAAGTATTTTGCAGATAAGCTCAACGAATAAAAAAAATCATTACAATTGAGATTGGGTGGGTGGGCGGGGTCTATATTTAGCCTTTTTTCTAAATGTACATGTTGTCTGTGTTGTGAAAAGATGGCTATGTATAATAAGAAAAAAAAGACAAAATATAAGCCCCGCCCACCCGCCCTATCTTATTTCTGGTGATTTTTTTTTATTCGTCGTAAGCCGAGAGTCGGATCCTAATTGCAGAATCCATAATGCCTTACAAAAATTTACTATTGGAAACCTGTTCTATGTGTTTAAGTATGAAAAAAAGCATCACAATTGAGATGGGGTGGGTGGGCGGGGTCTATATTTGGCTTTTTTTTTCTTAATGTACATGTTGTTTTTGTTGTGAAAAGATGGCTATGTATATTAAGAAAAAAAAAAGGCAAAATAGAAGCCCCGCCCACCCGCCCTATCTTAATTCCGATGATTTTTTTTATTCGTCGTAAGCCAAGAGGCTGATCCTAATTGCAAAATCTATAATGCCTTACAAAAATTTACTATTGGAAACGTGTTTTGAAATTCTAAGAATAAAAAAAATTATCACAATTGAGATGGGGTGGGTGGGCGGGGTTTATATTTAGCCTTTTTATCTTAATGTACATGGTTTTTTGTTGTGAGAAGATGGTTATATATATTAAGAAAAAAAAAGGCAAAATATAAGCCCCGCCCACCCGCCCTATCTCAATTCCGATGATTTTTTTTATTCGTCGTAAGCTGAGAGGCGGATCCTAATTGCAAAATCCATAATGCCTTACAAAAATTTACTATTGGAAACGTGTTTTATGTTTCTAAGAATGAAAAAAATCATCACAATTGAGATGGGGTGGGTGGGCGGGGTCTATATTTAGCCTTTTTTTCTTAATATACATGTTTTTTTTG